TTCTAGTGCCAGTCTGAAGATGGCTGAGGAGGGATTAAGTAGCATGCGTATAGAAGTGATCAAGCTGATGCAGTATGCCTGGAGTTTCAAGCAGCATTAGAAATCAAGCTTTCAGGACATAAAAGGAAAGTCCTCTTGTTCAATTAGTGTCAAGTTAAGTGAAAGGAAGCAGAAGATAAAACAAGTGGTCAATTCTCACACTGGTGAGATAAGAACCCCTAGGGATCTCTAATGGAACTTACATTGCTGTTTGGAAACAGGCCAATACCCTTCTATTTGTGGCAAACTTCATCCAGCTACTCTTCAAGATTTAGCAAAACAATGAGTTTTCTTCATAAGAGAAATCTCTAGAAGGGAGGAAAAGCCAGATAAAAATAATTACAGGCAATTTCTGTAGTGTCTAAGTACTCTCTGAAGTCAGCAATGTTTTGTGGTCAGCCTGGCAAAAGCAGCTCAAGATCAATAGCATCTTCAACATTATTTCCTGTCTACCTCTCACTAGTAGACAGCACTACCATCACTAATAGATGACTGTTTTAAGTGAGCAGTGATGAGGCCTGAAGTCAGCTAGGAGGCCAAGATGATCAGGTGAGGTCAAATAACTGCCCTGCAACACCTATTCTAAATACAAATATTCCTAAGTGAGTGATATATAATAACTTTTTATTTTCATTTTTTCCTTTGATTAAAAGTTGGTAGAAAGCACTATATTAAACTGATAAAGTCCAAGAGCTATCACCAGGAAGAATGTATTTTTTCTTCATCCTGATCAAGATAAATTCCCATTCCTTCAATCAAACATAGTGCTAGGTAAGAAATTCTGTCGCATTTCTGCTCCATGCCATGGAGAGAAGTGGCAATACAGACATCAACTTGATCATTACCAAATTTATTTTTGTGAAGTCTTTATTCTGAGTGAAGTCTTTATTCTGAGAAAAGAGAAAGTCATATTATGCAGAAAGAACAGCTTTTTTTTTGCTGAACCCAAAATATTTTCACTCAGAAAATATTTGGTCACCGCATTTAGAAAACAGCAAGACTTCAAAAGAGTTTGGGAACTTGTCTATGTGATCTAAAAGTCACATACACCTAATGCACACTAGATTTCCTTTTGGAGCTAGTCATACAAACAGCAACTGTCATTGAAAGCTCCTTCCATTTCTGCCTGTGCAACTAGCCTTCAGTAAGACAGTCATTTTAAGTAATTTATCAATATCTATAAGAACCAACTATCAATAAAACAGAAGAGAAAGTTGATTTTTTTCTTTTTTTTTTAAAGTATCCATATACAAGCGTCAGTGCAACTATGAAGACTGCAGTGCTACAGAGAAATAATGTTCATGTCACCTCCATAACTTCCAAGAGAGGTCTTAGCTGCTGTCGGAGGGCATAGTGTAGTCCTTCTCCAAAAGCTAATAAAGAATTATCTCCTTATATGACTGCATATGAACTGGATTTTTTTTTCCAGGTTTGCAAAACAGGGGAACTTGTTGCAGACAATACTTTTGACTCCTTCTGGCATACCAGAAATTTAGCATCAGGTTGGTGAATACCACACAGCAGTTAAAAACACTCTTCCTCCTTACTAGACATCTTACTTTCCAGTGCAAACATGAAAAAGATCATACCAAGTTGCTTAGAACAGGAATCACATGGCTGTTAATGGATTCAGCTTTATTTCATTTAACAAAATGATCTAGAAAGCATGCAAAGAAATTTAGCCTATTTCTATATGTTAAACTTGTCATATTACAGGCTCCTCCAGATGCTCTCATACAAACGAAAGAAAAATCAACACTAGCAGCACTTTAGAGGAGATAGTTTTATTTTTAATAATTCCTCACAGCCACTACCTCAGGGATATACCAGGAAAGTATTCACATGCAATATTACTAGGAGAGACTTAAAAACAAAAACAAAACAAAACTAAAAAGTCTCCCAAACCCACAGCAGTTCTTAAAAAGTAACTTCTCTTGAAATCAAGTTTTCTGGTATTTGTAGCTATTTTACAATTGAAGTTTGATATTTGACTGCAATTCTTTCTAGCTTGAATTTAAATAGTAATCATAAAAAAACTGATTTAAAGTGTATGACTGTTCTAGGACTTCTATACAGTTCAAATTAATTCTAGTAAGGCACAAATTCGAGGAAGTTTAATATGAAGCAGCTCATAGCTCTATTTAACCACACACTTAGCAGGCAAAGTATTCTATTTGTTCATTTCTTCAATTAGCCACATTGGTGCCTTTATCTGAATGAACGACGATGTGAGCAAGGTGTTTTAGAATTTACTCAATATGACAGAATATTCTCTAATCATGATTAGTTAGACTTACAAATGATTATGGGACGTACAATATGGTGCAGCTTTGGATCATTAACCATGGAAATGTAATTCAGAAGTACAAACAATTATTTCTGTCACTCCTTTTACTGAAACGCCGTTTTCTTTAATTAGGATATTGACAAGTGAGCACAGCGAATATAACACTTTTAAATAGTTAATCTGATAAAACAGTACTATGAACTTTTTACTGAGAATGTTTAATTCTCCCTACTTCACCTACACACACACTGCTCCAATTTCTTAGGGGGGCCCACTAATATAATGAACCTAAGGAAGATGAATGATATCCTTTCTAGGCAGGTAGCCAGACTCTGGGGGACCTAAGCCCACTCCACCCCTGTCAGCAGCACCACTGAAGGACAAACTGAAGCAATAAGGGGACCAACACATTGCTGCATGGGTGCTTTGTCATCAGAAGGGCTGCACCCAGCTCTTCCCATATTCAGCAGCTGGTTATTGCTTCGGTATCTTAGATATAGGAGACAAATCAAGAAGAGAGTTTCACTAGTTTTGAGAAAGGCAGAACATTTTCCAAGAGGTCCAGGAGAAAACATGCAGAGTTATGTTTTCTAAGCCACTATTACAGAAGATGAGACCATCATTCTGCCTCAAACAGCAGAAGTCTATGAAAGAGTATAAAAAACATTGGCAAGTATTGAAGGTATTTTTCCCAGCCCGCAGGGACTCAGGGCTTTCCTTACTTAAACGTGTTATCTTCCTTTTCAGGAGCTCATTTCCCTTCCATCAATGAGTCAATTCATTTTGAGAACTGACATTAACAACCAACGTCAATAATATCCCATGGCAAAGAGTTCCACTTAATTATGTATTGTGCGAAACACCCTCTTTTGTTTTAAATGTGCCACTTCCTCATTTCATTTGTACCACAGAGCTTTATTAACATTAGTACGGCTATAAATCTAGTTCAATATAGTGGTAAAACTGCCTCCCTCAAGGTGAAGGAATGGTTGAGAAGCAATGACTAAGTATTATTTAGGAGAAGTTACAACCATTGATTAAAAGCGAGACTTCACATCAACAGGCACAAGATGCAAACCATCAACATATATATATGAACTTAACATCACTGATGACAAATTGGTTCAGGCTTTTCGTGGCAGTCAGTCACCACTTAATTTAAAGGCCTTAACGTCCTTTACCAGCTCATTGTTTGCCAGGAAATATTCTCTACAACTGTCACAACCAGTTAGCAATAGGATACACTGAAAAAGCCCACTACAGTTTATGAGAAGTAGGTTTGCAGTGAAAGAGACTACTGGTGGAATACAGCTACATAATCATAGAAGCAAGAGTCTTTAATTCTAA